TTTTTATCTTTGAAACGATGCGTTATATCGAAAAATCGCAAGAGAACATTTTTGTTTTAAATTTGACGCAGAATACGACCATATTTTTTTCGATACAAATTTTCACGTTTTAATTTTTCATCCGCCATATTGGATTAGCCATTTCGAATTTTCCGAAAATTCAACATACCTCGTAAAAGTAAATGATGTGAGGTATACTTTAGGCATGAATAAAATTTTTTTCCCCTTTTTATATAATTTTTATCTTCAATACATTTAATTATTTTCCTACTTTTCCTCACTCTCGTCGCCATATTTAGCCGCCATATTGATTTTTCGAAAAATGCCACTCGGCAAATGTTCGGGAAGCCTCGAGGGTATTCGCTGGACGAGAAGTATTTTAGGGACGAGATCCACGAATTTTTGTGACAATGTATATTTGGCACTACTTTACAACCACAATAAATTACAGATAAGAATTTCGCGAGACTGTTGCCTTTAGTTCACCGAGAACGAGAAATCGGCTCGTAATTCGCACGAGAAAAATGGACGTGTTGTCGCAACGAAAAACAGAGGAGAAAAGGCTTCGCGGTTCCGTCGGTTGCTGCTTTTATGATGAAGCAGGATCCTTTGTTCCTCCGACGATCACCAATGATTTATCGCCAATTCGAACATTTTGAGGTGACCCCCGGGCTCCTGGCGTGATTGGTAGTCACAGGGCCCGGGAAGACACCTCGCGCATTGGACATGCGCGGAGCGCGCGTTCGCGTGGCTCATTGGAGATCGGCGGACGGAACGGCGGATCACGAACGGCAACGTATATACAGAAAAACACAGAATTATATTTTGCTGACATGGGCCTTTGTGTAGGGTCACGGTGAGTTGGTTGTCGATACAAACACTCGCCCGTCCGCAAGAGTGTTCTAGACCATTACGCGAAGCCCATATCAGCAAAATCCAGAAAAGAATCCGAACTGAACATAATGTTAATAATCGCATTCTAACGCGCATATGCTTTAATGCGTCACCCCGAACATTCCGCCCGCCTCGTCATTGCAGGACGAAATTACCACTAGGGCGCTGTGCAGATGTCGCGACTCGTTACCGATCTAGTTGCTGGTTCCGCGACAATGGCTCGACTGTCGGCGTGTCGCGGGGCGCGCTTGCGCGGTGTGACTCGCGACGCACGTGTGCTTCGCGCGATCGCAGAATTTTGGACGGTACCGTTCGTACTCTCTTCTGCTGGCACACCGGGCCATGTAACCTGCAATCGCGCGAAGTGGAGTGACAAGTGAGCTACGGTGATCAGTGAGCAGAATGACAGTGAGTGAAGTGAGTGCAGTGATTGAAGTGAGTGCAGTGATTACGCGTCTTGTGGCTGTGGCTGTGCTGTGGAGTTCGTCACCCGAGGCAACATCACAAGCTTGACCAGCGGCCGAGTGAATTCGGAAGCAGCAGTACGGATGGTGACAACGCGAGTTACGCCATCGTCCCCCGGGTGTAGTCGTGTAATCCGTGCGAGGGGCCACCGGGTTGGTGACGTCGTGGCGCAGCAGACACAGGTCTCCAACGTGCGGGGCCGCATCTTGTACCTGCCACTTTGGACGTGATGTCAGGCTGTGCAGATACTCACAGGACCACCGTCGCAAAAAATGATCCCGCATCTGTTGGACGTGCTGCCACCGGGACAGGGTGCTTTCCCGGGCCTCCACCAGCGTTGGTTCAGGAACGGCCAGGAGTGGGGCCCCGATGAGAAAGTGCCCCGGAGACAGAGCTGATACGTCGTCTGGATCGTCAGAGAGAGCCTGCAACGGACGTGAGTTAAGACACGCTTCGATTTGCGAAAGAAGAGTACTCATTTCCTCAAAGGTTAAAGTGGTTTCTCCGATAACTCGTCGGAGATGGTGTTTAGCAGACTTCACCGCTGCCTCCCAGAGACCCCCGAAGTGAGGAGCAGCGGGAGGGTTGAAGTGCCAAGTGACTCCTTCGGATGCCGTACTGTTGACGATGTTGCGTCCCTCGGAACTCGCGCCTCGGAACAAGCGTCGGAGCTCTTTGTCGGCCCCGATGAAGTTGGTGCCACAGTCGGAGTACATGTCGGTGCTCAGACCTCGTCGTGAAACGAACCGTCGGAACGCTGCTAGGAACGCCTCCGACGTGTAATCCGACACCAACTCAAGGTGCACCGCTTTGGTGGAGAGACAGACGAAGACCGCGATGAAGGCCTTGTGCGCTTTCTGTCCGCGTCCCTTGCTAGTCCGGGTGAAGATCGGTCCGGCATAGTCGACTCCGGTTCGCAGGAACGGCCGAGACGGCGTCACTAGTTCTCGAGGCAAGTCACCCATTATAGGTTGAGGCGTAGCAGCTCGCCATCGCACGCATGTCACACACCGATGCAGCGCCTGCTTGACGACGGACCGTCCTCGGGGCACCCAAAAGCGCAGGCGAAGCATGCCCAGGGTGAGCTGCACTCCACCATGTAGCGTTCGACGGTGGCAGGATTCCACCACCAGTCGCGTTAACCATGATGTAGCTGGGAGAATAAGAGGATGCCGCTCGTCTTGTGAGAGAACAGCATGCTTGAGTCGGCCCCCGACTCGAATTGCGCCGTCGGGATCAAGAAACGGGCAGAGTGCCGCCAACGTGCTTCGTCGCGGTACGGTACGGCCGGCTCTCAGTGTCAGGACTTCTTTGCCATAATGTGCTCCCTGCACATGAGTGAGCCATCGGTGAAGTGCTGCATCTACCTCGCTTGGAAGAAGTGAGTCGGATGGTTCTTCAGTGCGACTCAGTCTCGATCGCCATCTGAGGCACCATGCCGTGACGCGAAGGAGCTTGTGTAGATCTGAGAATCGCAGAAGTATGTCGGATTCCTCTGCATCTCTTTCGCATGCGGTGTGAACCGTCACCCTCTTTTCCGGTATGTCATGCTCAACGATCTCGGAGGCGTCCCTTGGCCAGTCGAGCTCACTGCCTCGGAGCCACGCAGGACCCGACCACCAGAGTGAATGCCCTTTGAGCTCGCTTGGGAAGACCCCTCGGGAGGCACAGTCGGCCGGATTGTCTCGACCCGGGACGTGTCTCCAATGAGCATCTGGAAGCTGCTGCTGGATGTGCGACACGCGATTGGCGACAAATGTCTTCCAGCGGCTGACGTGTCCCTTGATCCAGTGAAGGGTGACCTTTGAATCGGACCACAAGATCGTTGGAGCTGAAAACAGATTTAACGCGAGTGCCAAGTGCTTGGTGAGGTTGGTCAACAGGGTGGCCGCGCACAGTTCCAACCGTGGCAAAGACACTTGCTTAATGGGGGCTACTTTGCTCTTTGCCGCGAGTAGGTGAACTGGTGCGTGGTGCGGAGGTACACCACCGCGGCGTATGCTCGCTCTGAGGCATGAGGACCTTTGCTTGGACTACGACCGGGGCCAGCCAGCCCAGCGGATCGAATAGACGGGCCGTCTCGGACAGGACTCGTCTCTTTGTGAACTCGCGGAGAGTGCGAGCGTTTATTGCGACAGCGAGGTAGTCGCCGACAGGATTCCATCGCAAACCGAGTGTAGACTGACTGTCGTTCCATGCTAGCGGTGTGTTGTGACTACGGTGTTCGCGGGGGATCCCGCTCAAGATTTCATTGTGATTTGAGGCCCATTTACGCAACGGGAACCCGCCCGCCATGCACAGCTCGTTGAGTTCGGTTTGGATTGTTCTCGCTTCAGCGAGGGTTTGCGCTCCGGACATGATGTCGTCCACGTAACAGTCGTGGCGGAGCACTTCGGCGCCCCGAGGAAATCGGGCTTCCTCGTCGTCGGCGAGTTGTCGCAAGGTGCGGATTGCGAGGTATGGAGCACACGCGAGGCCGTACGTCACTGTCCTTAGGCGGTATTCGCGTATGTCGCCCGGTACGTTCGTGACGCCAGAGCACTCTCTGGAAATCGCAATCGTCAGGATGCACGAGGATTTGACGATACATCTTCGCGATGTCGGTGACGAAGACGTATCGGTGGCAGCGCCAGCGAATAAGCACGTCGGACAGAGCTGGAAGGAGGTTGGCGCCCACTAGCAAGTGAGAATTTAGAGACTCACCAGAGCTGGTGCGTTGTGAGCCATTGAACACGACTCGCAGCTTGGTGGACTCGCTGGCTTCCTTCAATACTCCATGATGTGGTAAGTAGCACTTGGCTTCGCCTTTGCGTACTTCTGCTACTTCCTCCATGTGTTCCAGGTCCTCATACTCTCTCATGAAGGCGCGATACAACTGACCGAATGCCGCATCATTGTTGCACTTTCTCTCCATCGCCACTAAGAGTTTCTCGGCTGGTCTCCGAGTTTCGACTAACGCCGACGGTGTGGTCGCGAATGGAAGTCGTACCGTGTATCTCCCCGAGGAGGCACGCTTGTGGGTCCGCACAAACACGTCCTCGCACTGGCTTTCTTCTGGAGTGAGAGGGGAGGGGGTGGCAGGCTCTGCGTCCAGCTCCCAGAAACGTCGCACCAACTGAACCAACTCGTGATCAGCCGTGCACTGAAGCGACTTGAGGTGGCCATGAAACGACGCTGAGCTGGTGCCTCCAGACAAGATCCATCCCAGAGACGTCTTCTGGGCAATGGGGGCGTGAGCGTCGCCTCTTCGCAGACCTTCCTCAAGGATTTGCGAACAAACTTCTGCTCCTAGGAGTAGCTCAATTGGGTCGTTGCTCAAGAACTGAGGATCGGCCAACGGAAGTCCCATAACATGAGACCACGTGGCTCCTGACTTCGCGGTGGTGCCGCGATACGCGGACAATCGAGGCAGCACGAAGGCCAGAACTGTGATGGTGGTGTCGGTCGTTGTGGAGGTGAGGCGCAGAGTGACCTTGCCGCGAGTTGATCCCGATCGTGTGTCACCAATGCCAAGGATTGACGTGGTGGATTGGGATCGCGGTAGGCGGAGTCGTTGCGCCAAAGACTCCGAGACTAACGACACCTCTGAGCCCTGATCGACGAGGGCTCTCACAGCGTGTGGAGCCCCGTAACGGTCGGCGATAGAGACGCGAGCGGTCGCGAGAAGGACCGCCTTGCTATCAGCTGCTGATCGTACGACGGAAAGTGAGCTTGCTTCGAGCGGTTTCGCAGGGGTCTCCGCGTCGTGAAGCAGGGAATGGTGATTCACGTTGCACGAGAGGCACCTTCGTACGGACGTGCACTTTGCTACCAAGTGATGCCCGAGACAGTTGTAGCACAGACGATTGGACTCCACGAACGATTTTCGATCGACGGCTGCCTTGGCCTTGAACTCTACGCACTTACCGATCGAGTGAGCGCCCTTGCACAGAGCGCACCGTGACGCCTCGGATTTGGCGAAGTGGCTTTTCGCGGAACGCGGTGGATCAGCGCTGCCTTTAGTAGTTATCTTTGGTTTAGCGGCGTTAAGTGTGAGTATCCGTTTGGACATGAAGTCCATTAACGTGCTGTGACTGGGTGGATCGAGCGGGTCGGAGATGGATGACTCCCATTCGAGGCGGGTTCGCGAGTCGAATAGCTCGACGACGAGATGGTCGAAGAGGTCCATTCCGTGGCTCTCCAATGGCCTTCCGATGCTCTCTTGCGCGTTCACGGCGGTCATCGCGGCGTTGTGAATTCGGCTTAGCTCATCGGCGGTATCTCCTCTCATTTTTGCAACGGCGGTAAACGTTGCGAAATTTGAGCGTATCAATTCTCGATTATTCTCGAAATGTTCACTTAATATCTTCCACACACGTTCGTAGTTTTCACCCCCCGGGAAAAAATGGAAAAGATCTGAACAGACCTGATCAGATCAAATCAGATCCAATTCGCTCAGATCTGATTTGATCAAAATATTGGCCCTATCTGATCAGATTTAATCAGACATGAGTAGATCTGATCCGGTCCTAGCGGACGAGGTCAGATAGGATAAGAATAATCTATATCTGATCAGATCCACTCAGACATGAGTAGATCTAATCTGATCCTGGCGGACGAGGTCAGACATGACAAGAATAATCTGTATTTGCTCGGATTCAATCATTCTATTTTTTAGTGGTTCCCTCTTGATTTTAGCCGGCACAAATTGGCAACCGGCACTATGCGACACGCGCGCGGGCGCGTGAGCGCCAGCTTCTGGTGACGGCCAAAAACTCGGAAACAAAATTCAGTCTCGCGGGCCTCCTTTTATACCCTACGAGACTGAATTTTGCTTCCGAGTTTTTGGCCGCCACCATGCGCGGCCTAGCGGCGGTCGG